GATCCTTCTTTGATGTATTATTATTATTTTTATTATTATTATCATTATTTTCATTGATATTATTATTATCACTTGTATTGTTTACCTCCTTTCAACTTGGCCATTTCAGTTCGCCTGTAGAGTAGATCAAATGACAAGGTTCTGAGACTGTCCATTTTCTCCCACACTCCTTCCTGATAAGCCCACTCATTCCAGCTGTAGTTGTGTGCTCTCTGCAGAAGTGTTCCCCAAAAAATCAGATTACACTTATTGCTCTCTACTTTGATGAAGGTGCAGACACTCAATCAGAAAAATGACTGTCTAGTCATCCCCAAAGAGGGGGAAAAGTGGGAAAGAATTTAGCAGTAGCAGAAATAAACCTGGCAAAAGTGAATAAAGTAGATGAGAAAAAAAGCACAACGGTAGGAAGAAGCTTGAAAAATATGAAAAAAATTTGTGCAGTAACTTTCAATCAAGATACAGTGTGTGTGTTTCTAGAGAGAGAACGAGGAATCTACTGACCTGTCAAAAATTTCAACAGAGAAGTTCCAAGCATAGCCATTACAATAATCAACATCAAGAATAATAGATCTCAGCTGCAGTTACTAAATACACAATGACACTGGCTAAATTTCTTAAAAGCATTTCTCCTCAGCTAAACCCTATGTGAATAAAGTGCACTCTAGAAAACAGAACACAGTACAAGAATAACACAGTTGAACAAAGACGAATGGATTAGAGGCCCTTACCTCGCAAATGAGAGGATCTGCAATCATCCATATATCTCGAATAGACTCTTTCTTCACCCCTGTTGCGTTGATGACCATGTCATAAAATGCCTGTAATATGAATATATATATTATTATGTTCCTCGCGAGTGACTGTTAATAATTCAGGATTAACATAAAACATATCAAATGCAAATGTTAAACTAGGGAGCCTGCTAATTCACCGGAAATATCATTGATGATTTGTAACGTCATATATTTCTAAAATAATTTACTAAAACATCAAAAGGACATGTTGCAGGTGGTGGCAAATTGGAGTCAGGATAAGGAATTGGCTCTCTGAAATATGGGAAGTGTAGAAAAAAGTGTCAAGTATTACTTTCTATAGGTAGCGTAAACACAGCCTCACGGGCACTCGCGGCCTTCAAACCGCGTGGTATCGGTGAAATCGGGGTAATTCCCATCGTTGTTTCTTTGCTCTTTCGCTATAAAACACCAAATGCCGTACACCTTGTAAAAGTTCAGCTTTTCCTCATTACAATGATGTAAGTTGTCTATATGTCCGATTATTAGGAGCTGGAGAATCGCCTAGGAAAGCGAAGCCCCTCGCTGTCAGAATGCGTGGTCGGCCGGTTAAAAAATTGACACGCGTGCATTCAAATGCTTCGCGGAATGTGAGATGATTAAATACTGTCTTTTCATTGGCGGAGAACTGTAGAGTTTTAAACGGGCTTTCCTGTGGTATATTTTTGGCCTTTGGCATTTAAATAGAAAGCCTTTAAAAATACCGTCAAAATTTTCAAAGATCATTTTTTACACAAAATATGTAAAATACCGGCTTAAAAAAGAAATCAATTAAAAGATCAGTTTATTTCCTAGTAGAATAAAGTAATTAGCTTGGAATTATTTTTCATCAATCCTTCCGCGAGACTCGGAAAGCATGTGACCACGCACGCGGGGTACACTACAGTATAGAGCTGACTCGCTCGCCGCGGTGGCCGGTGCGGCACCGGCTGGGTCAATGTCGGTGTTTTTGTCGAAATAACAACAGTTCATCATGTTTGAGGCGATAAAATACTGATTTGTAATTATCTCTAAGTCTTGAAAAAAATTAGGCTCCATATATTTGTTATAGTGATTTACTCTGTTAATGTGGAGAAGTTTAGTGCACTTGGTACTCTTTTATTATCTGTCAAACTTGGGATTGCAGCCAGGGACTGACTTTAACAAATTTGATCAAATTTTAAAAAACTACTGTTTTCTTAAAAATTGACTGAGAGGTTAAAGAATGGTACCAAAATGTTCACTGAATATAGGCCTTTCAAATGGAACAGATAAATTTGGCATACAGCTACTTTGAGAATTTAGTTTCTGGTACCTACTCTCTATCTTGTTAGTTAATATTAAACAAAACCTTTCTTGTCCACCCCACAGCAAACTCAAAGGCTTCTAACAGTAACTACAGAACTGAAAGTGGATAGATGATACCCCAAGCAGCAGCATCCCAAAACAACTTGTTGTTTTCATTTTTCATCAGCGTCACAGTTTTATTGCATCATGTGAAGGTTACATTACGAGTAACATTGGAGAATGTTTCTTCTTCTTGGCAGCATATTACTGCTGAAATGTAGAAAGCACCTCTAAAAGCAACATTCACCCTCTGGGGTACTTGCCTCCAGTAGTTAAATGATACCCCAACTCCATCCTCTTTTGGTAAGATGGGGGGTATTCTACCACATTTTTCCAAAAACCAGAGAAAAAAAGTCCTTTCCAAACTGTTGTCCCTCTTTATCTATTTCAGTGCATGCATAATATAAGTGATTCCACAATTTTACTGCACCTGATTCGGGGTGTTACCTTAAAATGGCTCAAATTTGGTTAAATATTGCCTGCCAGAGATAATGAGTTAATACACTTTCGTATTTCTAATTTTTGTCAAGAGCAAACAAAAAAGTAGAACCTTATTAGATAAAAATAACAAGGAAAATTGTATCGCAGAAAGGAAAGTCACCAGTAGCAAAGTAATCCCTCTATCATTCACACTTGGTATAGTAATTATTTTAACTTTAAGACAGCTGATCTAATGAATTTGACATCTCTAGAGGAATTTCAATCAATGGTAAAGATGCTTGAAATCTTGCTCAGGGCCACTTTCAAAATAGAGTTATGTTTCTGGTACTGATAGGTGAACAAGCCTAAATCCCTTGATTTTTGGTAAATTAAACTTGGCTGGTTGGGTGAAAATTGGCCTATTCAATAACTGTGACAATTCATTCCTTTTGTGGGCGCTGTAAGCCAAACTGTATTAACAAAGTTTATACAGTAAAAATAACAAGTACTTCATAAACTTAAAACTGTAACCTTTAGGAAACCCAACCTCTACCCAATTAGTGTATGAGGCCAAATGCTTGACTAAAGATTCACAGAAATTCAAAACTATGCTAATTTGTATTTGATCTTTACAGCTATACAAGAAATTAAGAAATATTCAGTGTTGTAAGATGTTATTAGTTAAGTTACTTTATTCTCTTTTTCTTCTTTCTGTATAGCAGGGGAGTGCAGAACCTCTGCCATCAGCTGATCATATCTGGGACACGGAGCTTGTATAGCCAGTTTCTGTAAAGCAAGGAACATTGATAAAAACATTATTACACAGATCTGATCGTCTTAAGGAAAGAGAACTGAAGTGGCCTCTCTCTCTCCCTCTCTCTGTCTCTCTCTGTCTCTCTCTGTCTCTGTCTCTGTCTCTGTCTCTGTCTCTCTCTCTCTCTCTCTCTCTCTCTCTCTCTCTCTCTCTCTCTCTCTCTCTCTCTCTCTCTCTCTCTCTCTCTCTCTCTCTATCCAGCCAGCTATCCTTTAAAGAAATTAGAAAACATAGGTGTTAACGTCAATTTAATATCATGGATAGGCAATTTTCTTTCAAACCGAACTCAGTATGTAAAATTAAAACATTCTTCATCGACATACATCACAACAAATACAGGGGCCCCTCAAGGATGTGTTTTGTCACCAGTTTTATTCACACTATACACGAACGATTGCCAAATAAACAACAGTAACATCAAGTTGATAAAATTTGCAGATGATTCAACTATAATTGGGCTAATTCAGGCTGACCATAACGAAACCGCTTACCGGAATTTTGTACTTAATTTTTCTGAATGGTGTGAAAATCATAAGCTGCTTTTAAATGTGAAAAAAACAAAAGAACTTGTCGTTGATTTTAGAATAAAGAAACTGCCCCTGCAGCCACTCAAAATAAAATGTGAAAACATCGAGCAAGTGTCAGACTATAAGTATCTGGGTGTTACAATAGACAACAAATTCAACTGGCGTGTCCACACTTCTCTCCTTCATAAAAAAGTGAACAAAAGACTATTTTTTCTTAGAAAGCTAAAGTATTTTTAAGTTGATAAAACATTGATGTCCATGTTCTACCATTCAACCATAGAAAGTATGATCAATTTTTGTATAACAGCATGGGCCGGGAACACAAGACAACAAGATAAAGAAAAATTAAATCGACTAATACGGACAGCATGTAAAATTTCAACATCTTCATTCCCGTACTTGGATGAATTGTACATAACAGATTGCACTAAGAAAATTAATTCCATCTTTTTAGACAACAAACATCCCTTGTTCCCTCAAATAAAAACATCAGTCAGAAGTAAAAGACCCATGCTTCTGATCTGTAACAAAGAAAGATACAGAAGGTCATTTTTACCATCATCTATCAAAATGCTTCCATCTTAATCATCTTGTCTAGTGTACTTACGACCTTAAAGCATGCATCAAAATAACATTGAGTGTGTATCTAGCTTACAATTATTATTGTTTATATTGCTGCTCATTTATATTATGTATGTGATTGTAAGACTACTTGTGTGTGCATGTGCGTGCACGTGTGTACGTGTGTGTGTTTGTGTGTGTTTGTGTGTGTGTGTGTGTGTGTGTGTGTGTGTGTGTGTGTGTGTGTGTGTGTGCGCGTGTGTGTGTGTGTACTCGTGGTGGAACACCAAACCAATGTGCCAGGATCTGGACAATAAAGATGTATCTTATCTTATCTTATATTATCTCTCTGTATCCCTCAGTCTCACTCTCTCCCTCTCTCTCTTTCTCTCTCCCTCCTTCCCTCTTTCCATGGCATGTTTGATAGATCTGTCCATCTGTGAATCCATCTATCCATCCGTACAGAGTGAGAAGAATTCCTTTATGTTTTGAGTTTTGTAAATCTTGTAAAACTTACAATTTGTGAAAAATTAGAGGCGTAAAGAAGAAAAAGATAAATATGGGACTCACATTGTCATTTTGTGTTGGAGTGCTCTGGACGGGAATTGGCTGCCAGGTGAAGTTACTGTTCCAGACCTGTGGACCCTGAGGTGGGAAGAGCCCGGCCAGGTTGCTCTGAGCAGACATCAAACAGCGCTCCACTCCTGATGACTGGATGAGAATCTGTTGACGACATGCCAAAAAAAGACAGATAAAATCTTCAAATAAATGCCTCAGTACACCTAAAACAAAAAGTGAGATGTGATCCTTTGAGTTAATGTATACAGTGACCTCGCTATCACTGGAATGAACAGTAAAAGATGTCTGGCAACTGTGAATATTGTAAGTTGATTTGAGTTATGCAATCCCTGTAAAATACAGAGGAGGTGACATCTGGTGAATACAGAGAAATACTAATAAAAATTGTATTTTTGTATAGTTTATTTTGGTAAGAGTTTTTATTTATTTCTTTTTTTTTTTTATATAGTAGAGGGTTTTACGGCGCTCGCACCTGCATAAGGTCATAAAAGCACCAAGGGGTGGGTGTCAACAGAGAAGTCCTTACAGGGAATCAGACTTACTCTGCTCACCTCTCTAGCTTCAACAGCACAAGGTCTGCTTTGACCATCAAGGCACCCCGGAAATAGCAGGTCACAAGAGTGACAAACAAACAAGAGAAGTAGAGGAAATTACAATAGTAAGGATTAGGAAAGAAAAAGCTGCAGTTCCCTGTTGCAGATCAGGCACAGTTATGAGCCTGACATGATGAATCAGCCCATTTACAATTCTACTGTGCTTGAACGAGAAATGTCCCCCCTTTGGGAATGGCCTAAAGACACTACAGTCAGTGGCAGTGCCCCGGGAGGTTGGTAAGAGTTTTATGGCACTTGGAACACAATAAGTTCATATAAGTGCTGAAGATTAGAGGTGTAACAACAGAGTAACAAACAAAAAAAAAAGGAGGTGGAGATCAGGATGATTGATGTTTGTTAGGAAAAAAGGAGCAAACTACACCCGAGCACCCGACAACCACTAAGAGTTTTATCTATTAAACACTCAGAAAATTTGCACACAATAGAATGATTGTAAACCATTCATGTCTACCATCAACACATTTTAGATCATTTACAAAGTGACTTAAAATTCTACCCTGGATGTCAGGGTTATAACATTCCTGCAGAAAATAAAATACATTCAAGAAAATATCTTTCCTACATGCAAATCAAACAATATTTACTGAAAGCAAGGCAAAAAGCCTCAATGTTACATTAACAGTCACGAAAAACAGGTAAAGAGCTGAGTCAGCCTCTGTCTACTAAACCACTCATCTCTCATCAAAAGACCAAAAAAAGCAAGTTCTTGGGTGGACAAAGTTCTTTTTCAAGGGGCGCAATTCAGCTCTGACCACTTTGTTTCATGGTTATCTCTTTTGTTTATTATATGGTGAAATATGACAAACTAACATTCAAGGAAAGATGGAGAGCATCTTTCTTTAAAAATAAAAAATAACATTATGTGTGTGTGCGTATTAGTGAATGTTGTGCGTTGTTTGGAGTCCGAATGTGAAACCGTGGCTTCAGACTTCCCGGTCAGTTTCCATAACAAAGCACTGTCACAACTTTTTTTTGTAAGTGTTTTTCGGCGCTCGCAACTGCATTAGGTCATATAAGCGCACGGGACACATTAAACATTTTCAGTTGGTAGGAAATTTTTTATTTGGCTCGGGTGGCGGCAAAGCCCACTCTTATCGATTTTGGACTACCAAGGGATCTTTAAAGTGCGCAACTTGCACACGGGACCTCCAAGATTTGTCACCCTTGTCTGAGAAGGCTAGGTGTAGATCTTTCCTACCATAAGATCAGGGGTGTGGCTGAAAGACATCAGTAAGAAAGAGCCAAGGAGTAGCAGTAGAAAGGCTACAGAAAGAGTCAGGAGCCCAGAGGAGGGGGCAAAGGAGGTGAGTGGGTGGGAGCAGAAAGTGGAGACAAAAGCAGAGGACAGAACATTGCTTTAGAGGAGAAAGGGAGGTGAAAGTAGACAATTTAGAGAAGAAAAATGTCCATCACTATCCGGAAGGCAAACACCTTAACCTCCAGGCAACAACATTGTTCGATGAGGAGCTTTTCATGTTTACCTTAGCCAAGCTATTGGACAGAATAAGGACCAGAGTCCCTCCCTCCCTCCCTCCCTCCCTCCCTCCCTCCCTCCCTCCCTCCCTCCCTCCCTCCCTCCCTCCCTCCCTCCCTCCCTCCCTCCCTCTCTCTCTCTCTCTCTCTCTCTCTCTCTCTCTCTCTCTCTCTCTCTCAAGTACACAAGTCTCTGTCTGTTTCTCTCCAACTCATATGCACAGGTCTCTCTCTTTCCCTCTATCTCTCTCCCTCTCTCTCTTTTCTATCAAGCTCCGGCCAGTACGTACGCCCGACTCCCTTCTCTCTCTCCAACTCATGAGCACCTGCTCAGTAACAGCACAGTTGTCCATTAGTCACCAAGTTGGGGACTCACTCCCGCAAAACAATTAACATATAATTTGCATTCACTCAAAACTGATCTCACACTCAGAGATATCATGAATTTCCAGGCACTTTGCATTCAAAAGAACAAATAAAAAAAGGTGACATATGTTTTGCTTTCCATCACCTCATGCCTAGCCATTTACTCCCCCCCCCCCCTTCCCCCCTCCATAAAAAAATTCCCTCTCAATCCCCCATCCACACCCCTACCGCCCACCCTAATCTCCTCTCAGTCCCCCATCCACACACCCCACCCTAATCCCCTCTCAATCAATCCCCCATCCACACACCCCCACCCCCGACCCTAATCCCCTCTTAATCTCCCCATTCATCCCACCCCCCATTCACACTCCCCCACCCTCCACCCCCCACTTGGCCATAGGTGTGAGCTTGTGATAATATCCTCATTTGAATTTAGGGGATACACATTTTATGTAAGGCAGCGTAGTGAAAACAGGCGCTCGTCAAAATAATGAAATTGAAGAAACAGGCATTTTTTTTGCAGGTCTGTCAATTTTTATCGAATTTTTTTTTGGTGGCTAAACACCATTTCTGTCATAAAAACACATTTCTGTTTGGATTTTACTGAAAAACGTTAATTAAAGGCTCAAAAAAGGTAAGTTTTCAGTTTCCACCAAGCTATGGAAATAACTACATTTAGCCAGCCATTTTCTCACTAATTTTACTGCTGCAACGAGGAGAAAGACACAGAACAAGCTTTAAGATGATACCAATTAACTACATGAGTCCAAAAATTGACGAGCGCCTGATTCCACCGCATTGTGATACATATGCCATATTTGATGAGCAAAAGAGTAAAGTTTATTCATAACATACATCTCAGCATTAAACAAAAACAGAGCGATGGGATTGCTCACTTTTTACTTTCAGGTAAAAGGGAAAACAAGACTTATTGCACCATGAAAAACAAAACAAAAATTATTCTTTAAGGATAAAGCTATTTCTAGTTTAGAGCTCAACATTTTTTTCCTGACATAAACAGTCAGCACACAATCGAACGGTTACTTATTATAGCATTAACCTTCAAAATGTTTAGCTTTTGATCCCTGTCTGAACAAACAACACATTTTAGATATACCAGATGTCATGTAGTAACAGAAAGCTCATAAACTTTACAATCACTATCTTAGACTTAGCGCCACACATTCAAAACTCACTCTCTTTGTCCCTCAGGCAACTTGCAACTTTGCAGGCAACTTGCAACTTTGCAGGCAACTTGCAACTTTGCAGGCAACTTATAACTTTGCAGGCAACTTATAACTTTGCAGGCACCTGGGCACAAACAACTTTCACAATCATCAACATTTTCATGCTTATACAGCAAATCTGTATTCCAACTTTGCCACAAAATTCAGTCAGGTTACCATTTAATTTTCTGTCCACTGCTGAGAACAGAACTGGCTGAGAAGCTTGCGTTCAACATTCTATCAACAACAGGCATTTACCTTGTTTTGTTATACAGATAGATAGATAGACAGATAGACAGATAGATAGATAGATAGATAGATAGATAGATAGATAGATAGATAGATAGATAGA